CCCCCCCCCCCCCCCCCAGACTGGTCATTCCTTACACCCACTCAGGCTCTCTCCGGCCCAGGGCAGAATAACCACCATTGTCTGGCTGCTTGGGGCAGCATGGCACCAGTTAGGACCAGTTAGTGCTCACAAACTGGGGCTGTTATCAACCTGCTCCGTGACACGTGGGAATGAACCGACTTCTACGATAACAACGGCAAGCAATGGGTCCCACCAACGCCATCATGTTAACCTCAAATATTCATAATACTAATGGAACAATGAGGGGAAGATGATACATTTTGGGGAGAAGGAACTAAATTCTCAAAGACGATATTTGTCTTCTGTTTCTTAACAGAATGTCAGGAAAGAACTTGCAGATTTCCATGAAATAGAAAAGTCCTTGAGTCAGCACTTCCATCACCTTATTTAAGACAAAGCCGGGCGGATGGTGATTATCCTGCATATCTTTCTCTTTCTAAAACACCCTGAATAACCTGGTAAGTTCTCAGATGTCTTTACAGCCAACACACTAACTCAATTTCCATTTGACCGCCCTGTCTGGTCTGGTCTGAGTTGTGTGCTCCATCTCTCTCTGAAGAATGCGTCTAGCTTAATCGCTGTCGTAGCCAGGAAGTCTTTAACGAAATGCACAGCGTCTAAATCACTCAGAGCCAAATGGAATCCCCATTAATACTCTTCCAGCCCAGTGCATTCGAGTCTGTGAGGTGCTGAGCTGTCGAGCTGTCCTTCGGCATTTAAATTCACTTACGACGTGTGCCCATTCCTGTTGTGTAACTGACTTAGAAATGGCAGCATGGTGATGATGTAGAGGTTGATGTGAGTGTTTGTTAGAAGGATGCAGAGATGATATGTTTGTGCTGTGAGAGGGAGGAGATCTCAATATGTGTGTGTGTTTCTGCTCAGATGACTCTGTGTTCACATGTCCTCTCTGAGCGGCTGTGAGCTCCATTAGTCTCTGCAGTGCAGCCTGCAGCACGGAGCAGCTGCATCAGGGCGGGTCCTGCATGGGGACCGGGCCGCGGACTGAGCCAAGCTCTTACAGTACTGGAGTCTCATTAGGAGCTCCACCTATCCACAAAGTCCTTCGACAGGATGACAGAGGAGATGGGAACATTGGCTGAAAGTAACCAGACTCGCTCTTAGCAGCGAAGTACTTCAACTCCCCGTCTACCTCGGCTCTCAGGAATCATTCGAGATTTGAAATATGAGACTTGAACCGACACCATGTTTGTTTAAAAGCAAGAACTTTTCTATTCACTTTCTTATACAACAGATGTTAATCTTAACAACTGCTGCTCCTATTTGCTCACGTTCTTTGCCTCTCTGTGGTTCTGTGCTTTTCTCTATTCTTCTTCATTCTTGTGTGTAAGTTTAGCTTTAATATTTGATCACCCTGTAAAGCACTTTCAACTGCATTTATATGAAGTGGTGGTAAACAAATAAACTTGAGCTTGAACTGGCATAGTTGTAGGAAAAGAAGACAAAATTAACAACAAATATAATAAAAAAGCATCAGAAAGTATAAGAGAGGAAACGCTACAGTAGAGTGCGATGATGATGATGTCAGTGGGTGAGGCAGTCCTGAACGTGCAGTAATGAATCCCTGACCTCTGTAATACCATGTGGTTTATATTATTCACAGAGGACACGCATATGTTAAAGGCCCAGTTTACTCAAATCACAGAACATAGAGGGAAGAAGGTTTCTTACCCCAAGTGGTTTCAATCCACGCACACATGTTTGGTTTTGAGAACCCTTCCTTTATTTTTTCAATGCAATGAACAACACTCGAATAACTCTCCTGCTATTGACCTCATTTTTTGTCGACTCAAGGAGCGGGGCTAGCCACAACTGCTAGTGTTAGCACCAGATTTAGGGTCCGATTCGTTTTTGTATCGTGTCGTTAGCCCGTTATTCTCTGTCTGGATAGCTTCTTGTTTCAACATTGAACTAGTGTGGGTCAAACCGTATGAATGTAAAAACATTCACGTCTATGTGAGATTAGATCTAGACTGATGCAAGTTAACTGCGTGGGCATGATCCATTAAGTCCCGCCACACTCCCGTGTCATCACTTTATCAGGCAGCATCGGCCCATTAACGCACAACAAGGACCATTGTCACACAGAGGCAGCGAGAGAGAGACGGACAGCGACTGAGTGAGAGAGAGGAATACTCTCACTGGGGTTTTGTGCTCTCGAATGCCTGACATTCCTACAAGCAGCAGTGTAGGCCGGCCGCCTGGACGTTATTACGCAACAGGCAGATGTTTGTGGGAGAGAGGGAAAGCTGAGGAGCACAGAGTCCATTCTGTGGGGACATACAGTGAGGGATTGTGGGATAGGTGGAGAGCTGACCGAGGCCAGCGTCAGGGCGGTGCTCACTCCGGGGACAAACTTTAAACTAAGGCCAGATGCACAGCTCTCCTCGCTCTCTCGTTACTCTCACACCCTTGACATGTACTTGTGACTGTAAGGCGAGTTTTATAAAGCTATTGCAAGGCTTGCATCAGTTCGCAGCAAATGACTGAAAAGGATTTCACGACTGGATATATATCTTGTATTTCATCCCTTTCAGAGGGGAAAAGTGTAGATCTTCTTCCATGTAGAGGGGATTTCCAAAATTGAAAAACTGGAATGTAGCAGAACAAGTTTAACCTCTCAAACAATAAATGTTCACTTCTTTAAAACTCAAGGCTCCATGTATTTTCATACTAAATACAGAAATAAAATGTTCTTACTTCCCCAAAACTTCGAGGTGACTTTTTCTCATTGAAACTTTAGTTTGTGCTTTACTGCACAACATAAGTTGGTTCACAATAGATGGAGCCACTGGTGGAACTGACAGTGTTTAAGTGGGTAAATCGAACAGATTTGAAGACTTGACCCACCCGATCGAGAAGGTTGCTTTGCGACCGTCAGCGACACCTCGGTGAGCGGCAGGATGTAGACGTCCGGGCTGCCCTGGGAGGCCGGCGAGGCCAAGGTGGACATATCTGCATGGTACTCCTCCCTGTCCACATTCCTGAATTCCTGGAAAGAAGACACACAAATGTACCAAGAGCTCAAAGGTCATGCAAAGGAACAGGTTGACTGCATTAGAAGATAATGTCATATCAAAACCGACAATGAGCATATTCGCCAAATAATGAGAAAAGGGAAAAGGACTTTTGACTTGATTTACTGCACTTCTTTAAGCTGACACCTGATCCAACTCTCAGCTTCACAGGCCCCAAATGACACCAAGCAGGAGATCAATACGTCTTTACAACGCTGAGTGGCCGAGAGAGATTAGAGAGCCTGATCACTGTCTATAAAGATTCTACTAATATATATACAAACCATCATTTTATGAACAAAGTACATGAGTCTATATAGAGGGTAACTGCTCTGAAATAAATGACTCTGAAGTGGCTTCAAAACATCCTGCATGGAAAAAGTAACGTTTCTTGTTATGAAAGAAATATGGATGAAATGGTTGAAATCAGCACGCAGTGATGAACAAGCTCTTCTACCTGAGGGAAAATAAGTTTGAATCATAAGGTCCTCCTGCATGAATACAGGATCACGGGATGCTAACATTGTGAGTCTGTTGTTTCTAGATAATTATTTTTTAAACGAGGCTTTATTTTTTCTTTCTCTACATAATAGCGAGCTCGACAGCTTTTTCAATCCCATAACGGAAATTCCCCAAAATCAACTTATTGTGAGAGTTTTTTATCACAATAAAATCAAATATATCACCCCCATCTGTAATCTGTATGTGTATATGTAAATGCATTTTTCTGTTCTCTCTTGGTCCATTCTGTAATCACTTAAATGCTTCGGGAGACACGAAATGGATAAGATGAATAATGAGAATAAAGAAAGAGACATAACAGTGAGGAGCCCCTGAAAGAGTCTTTCTGTCTGTTGAACGCACGGACACATAGCGGGATGAAGCAGAGGAGGAGGAGGAGGAGGAGGAGGGGGAGGAGGGGGAGGAGGGAGTTGGCTGCATCCACCGACCGGATGTCAGAATAAAAGTCTCTTAGATGAGAGCTGGAGAGTGGCGGGGTCCCAATACTGGAAAAATGTGACCTGCTGCAGCCCTCTGTAACACACACACACACACACACACACACACACACACACACCTCCGTCCGTCACTTCATCCTGTCATTTAATCCTGTCCCCCAAGAATGCGAGCACATACACACAACACACATGTGCACACCCTCCCTCGGCCTCAGATCCAAATCTTCACACGGCCCCGCTCGCCCTCCCATTCAACATGTGGTTTCACTCTCCACACCGACACACACTCTGTCAAAGACACACACACACACACACACACACACACACACACACACACACAC